GTAGGGGCCGCGTAGGGGCCGCGTAGGGGCCGGGTAGGGGCCGCGTAGGGGCCGCGTAGGGGCCGCGTAGGGGCCGCGTAGGGGCCGCGTAGGGGCCGCGTAGGGGCCGCGTAGGGGGCGCGTAAGGGCCGCGTAGGGGCCGCGTAGGGGCCGGGTAGGGGCGGGGCCGCGTCAGGGACGGGGCCGCGTCAGGTACGGGGCCGCGACGGGGCCGTTTAGGGGCGGCGTAGGGATCGCGTAGGGGCCGCGTAGGGGCTGTTAGGGGCCGCTAGGGGGCCGCCAAAAAAAAAATTAGGGCAGGGCGCGAGACGCGCTTCGGGCAGCTAAAAAAAAAATTGCTTATGGTGGGCCCTTAGGAAGGAACGGTCCCATGAGGGAACCCGCTCTATACCATGTGAAGAATTAAACAGGAATGATTGAACTAGAAATGAGGTGGGTACAAATAGAGAACACAAAAGTGTTGTACCCTCTAGGAACTACCCCACTACAGCCTATATAGGCTAAGGCATATACATTTGACAAAAAGTACTCATCCCCTTTCGCAATCTCATTTATAGTAACAATTTTCATACATCATCATCTACAATCACACCTGTTTCACAAAACTGTTCTCCATCACAATCTTCCCGCTTTTTTTGGGTTGCGTCCCTTTTTGTTCAGAGCACATTTTCAGGCCCAAACCCCCTCAATTCTCCGACTGGAAATTTGGGCTCTGAATTTCAACCGCGGCGCGACTGCAAATTTTTGTGGGCGCATAACATTTGGTTTCCAACGAGATTTCAGGCGGATTGCCTTTTCCCAACCGCGGCTCGTCGTGACATTGTCAAATTCGCGCTTTGTAACTTTTTTTGTGGGTTGCTTTTTGGCGCAAATATAACTGCTTCGACAATGTATAGAATCTGAATCTGTTTAGTACTTATCAAATTCGATAAGTAATGAATTATGCTTAAACAATCTGAATGTATCTTTCAATGCTTTCACTAGAAACGCTTGTACATTACACAATGTACTTATTCAGCATGAACAAGTCCAAATCTGCGACGCCAAAAATCTGTACCACATGCACGTGACGCAGGATGGCCGCAATCGGGATAACGCGGAAAGCGTTTTCGTGTGCAGGCCAACACATCCGCACACAGCCGGTGCTTTTATCCACGCCCGATTGAAGGTAGTACCTGACATACGCAAGGTCATGCGCTACCCCGTTTCTCTTGCAATAAAACAGCAGCTTCAACTTGGCAAATTCCACCGTGCCTCCCTCGCACGACACGGCAACGTTTGAGAACCAAGGCCTTTGGTAGCTGTCAGGTGTAGCCCGCACGAAATGGGCCTCCTTTGAAGATTGCGGCCCTCCATCAGCTGGGATTGCCATTATTGGATGGGCCTGCAGTCCATGGCAATGACACGGGATGTTATTCGTGTTGGAAATCTGGTGTAGAGTGGACCGAATGGTGTGCAAGTTATTTTGTGAACTCACCATAACTTTTTCAGCCCGCAATCCATAATCGCTTAAGGCCGAGCGGAAGTACTGGTGAGCCATTGGTTGTTGCGCAGCCCACCCTATGTAAAACGCGTTCATCTTTGTTGGTTCACTTGGAGGTGTGACAAAGACGGCATACGCGTCTTGCGTGACAACCGGCACTCCCTGAGTTGTGGCCTGCATGTACACAAAGTGATGTATGTTACGAATAAGTGTGGCATATCAGCGTCGTATCACATTCGTTGAATTTACTGCCTTACCTTCTGCATCGAGGTGTTGTGCGCGCACTCGGGGGTGTCGAGGGATTGGTATGCCGCCCTCTTCTCGTGTTGTTTCATGATTTGCGCCTCTACATCACGCTTGTTTGAGTGTCGGTAGATTTGTTTCAGCAGAGGGCCATGCAGATGCTCAAACATGGCTGTTGAATAATTCGAGACGTGGCCCGCTCTCCTGATCGCTTCCGCGTAGTGAGTCATCAGGTGTGTTTTTATTAAACACCACTCTGATTTCTGCTCGGGAAAAGCAGCCTGAAGCTTTTTCACGAGCCTGTTGGGGTGGGATTGGTTGGGGTTTCAAGGGGGCTGATAATCTCCCTCTTGATCACATTCTGTAGTTCATTGGTTTAGGATGTTTACTTTGTGTTGTATCAAGGTGTTTGCACAGATCAGTACCAAATCAATCCAAGGTATTAGAGTAAAGTTAAATTGAGAAATACCTATTACTCAACCTCTCTAGAGTCGACAAATCTGCCTCGGTGTGGCCTGGTTGCTTGGCGCAGAAGGCGTACCACTCCAGGTACGCTCGGATGGCGCTCAAGCACTTCTCCTCTAGCGTGTCTGACACGATGAACAGGAGTACCTAATGGCGGGAGGGTATTAGTACGGCGCATGATTATTCATATGGCCAGCGAGTGCCGAAAAGCACCACATGCAGCATGTGAATAAACTTGAAAACATACCATTAGCACTGCTCGGTGCTCGTGTGCTGCCACTCGAGCCCCAGATGAGAAGTACTCGTGTGCTGGGAACCGGATGTTGGTCATCCGGGTCTCCTCTCGAATCTGCGCCAGCCGCCTGAGGATGGGTTTAGGGTGGTGGGAGGGGGTATAGGCATGGCAGTAGGGGTCGGGAATAAGAATAAGGGTGAGAGGAGGGGAGCATGAATGTGGAGCAGAGGGTTCGGGAAGGTGTATACGCATGGCAGCACGGGTAAGGAATAGGAATCAGGGTGAGAGGAGGCCAGCATGACTGTGCAGCATTGGGTATGGGAAGGGGTATAGCCATTGCTGGATGGGTAAGGAATAGGAGTAGGGGTGAGAGGAGGGGAGTATGAATGAGCAGCAGTGTGTATGGGAAGGGGAATATGCATGGCAGAGTGGGTAAGGAATAGGAAGAAGGCGGTGCAGAGGAATGGAGCATGAAGGTTGAGCAGTGTGTATGATTTAGAAATATACATGGCTGGATGGGTAAGGAACATGAGTAAGGGTGAGAGGAGGGGACTAAGAATGAGCAGCAGTGTATATGGGAAGGGGTCTAGGCATGGCAGGGCGGGTAAGGAATTGGAATAAGGGTGAGAGGAGGGGAGGATGAATTGGAATAAGGGTGAGAGGAGGGGAGGATGAATTGGAATAAGGGTGGGTAGGGAATAGGAATGAGGGGTCGTAAGGCGCTTACCCGTCGAACATTGCGAGACTTCCACTGTGTGAAGCTCGAATAGCGGCCACGATGTGGTGGAGAATCCCGAGGTCGGACTGGTGTATGATGTCTGGCATGATGGCCAGATACGGGTTCGCCCATGGAGCACCAGGGACTTCCCACTGCCTCAGAGCACACTGCCATCCAACCAAATCCGGAATGGGACAAATGAGGGAGAGTCTCATGGCATGGCGAAAGGGGTGAAGGGTAGGCTGGGAAGGGGTCAGAGGAAAAAGGGGAGTTGTGGCATGGGACGGGAGAGAGTCAGCTGGAGCGACAGAATGGAAAACGGCATTCCCAGAGGTGAGCATGTGAGCATGTCTCGCATCTACACGCAGCAGTTGATGCTCGCTTTCTGGGGAGGCTTGAGCATGGCGCCCGAGCGGAGGCATCAGCCTGGACCACGAGCGGACCTACATCGAATGCAAACGTCGAGAACTGAACTGCAGCACCTTTCTTTGTACCCAGCTTGTCCTCGGCATGTTCGACAATCCAGCGCTGTTGGTCGGGTGTCCTCGGCGTGTTCACAGCAGAGACACAGTTGAGATGTTCCTAGGATGCACGAAGAACATTCAGTGTGTGGGGTTGAAGGGAGGGGTGATATGCAACGCATGGTGAAATAGGTTAGAAGGGAGGTAACATGCATAACTACGGGTTTTAGTGTAACGTGTAAGTTCTGGAGCACACGAGATAAGAAGCAAATGATCACTGGAGAGGGTATGAATACAATTGTCACACTCACCTTCTGCGCATAACAAATGCTGCACGGTCTACTGGTGGATCCAGAGAGAGTGCAAGTGACCTTCCCACTCTCTGGATAGTCTAAAACCCATGCGTACAGCAAAGGCTTGACGACATGCTTGACGCCGTTGGGATCCGTTAGAAAAAACCCGCTGCACATACATGGGAGGGGAGGATGTATTATAAGAATGAAGATGGTCAAGTTATTGGTAACAATGTCGGCATAGGATGCGGGTTATTGTGCAATGCAGTGAGGGAATGGCTGGAAAAGCAGTACTGTAGTGTTAAAATGATGAGGTACGGGTTGGGTGATGGAAGGAATTCATTGCATTCAGGGCGCAGACGTTTGGTGAAACTTGCCGGTACCTTTCACGACCGTCCAGGAGACCGTGAAGCATTGTCAAAGCCGCACGTTGGAAGAGCTGCGTTTTCTGCTCGGAAGTCATATTCGAAGGGGGGATTGCAAGGGTTCCGAGCAAGCAGTGGCCTGCAGACGCCCAGCGTTTGCCTTGCTTGATGTTGCCGAGGGTCATCATGACCGGCCATGCCAGCTTGTGTCCGTTCTCGCTGAGGTGCGTGACGTCGCTGTACAGGATGATGGCGGCCACCACTCCGTCTTCTCCCACAAAGTCCTGTGTCCAGGGAAGAGAAGCAAACAGCAGGAGCAGGCGGGTTCACTCACAGATTTACGCCAGGGCAGAGAAGCAAACAGCAGGAGCAGGCGGGTTCACTCACAGGTTTACGCCACGGCAGAGAAGCAAACACAGTAGCAGGCGGGTTCACTCACAGGTTTACGCCACGGCAAAGAAGCAAACACAGTAGCAGGCGGGTTCACTCACAGGTTTACGCCACGGCAGAGAAGCAAACACAGTAGCAGGCGGGTTCACTCACAGGTTTACGCCAGGGCAGAGAAGCAAACAGCAGGAGCAGGCGGGTTCACTCACAGGTTTATGCCACGGCAGAGAAGCAAACACAGTAGCAGGCGGGTTCACTCACAGGTTTACGCCACGGCAGAGAAGCAAACACAGTAGCCTGGTACTAGTGCCCGTCCAACACAATCTAGCAGCCTTTTGGCACATACATACCTAGGCTTCATGCCACCAGGTGTCGGACTCTGGTGTTGAGTAGCACCTCTTGCGAGTGGCTGGGTCGATGTCCACGTGGGGTTTCAGAACAAATCCTTTGGCGTTGTCCGGGTGTCCAAACATGTCAGCCAGAGCCTGTAAAGTACATTCAGCCCGTGAATTGGGATGGAGATGGATGGAAGCAGCACGGAATCCAAAAAAATCATGTAGAACAGCTTTAAACTTGGATCAAGGCATGGAAGAGACATCAAAAAAACACAAAATAGCATGGATCAGTGCAGCGAATAGACACTCTGGCGTGTCAAAACAGCACAAATCAGCAGTGGGGTGTTCACTTGAGTCGGATCTCTAAAGAACATGAGCTGGTCATCGAAACCTTCCAGTTTGAAAGTCGCCACACTCCACCCTCGGCCCAGTCCCCTCAACTCTTCGATTTCGAAGCGTTCCAGCTCTCTGCAGTTCGTGAACTTTGACAACACGGCCTCCGCGAGTTCGGGGATGCATGAGGAGCTGGAGGATCCGATTAATGTCCACCTCCGCCATCCCCGTCTTTCCGTTTTCCATCCTGATGACTTGAATGAACTTGAACACAATTGGATGTGTGATGGATGACGTTTTGTTGGTTGACGAGACGGAGATCGGAGGGGGACAGGACTCCCCCGTATTCTCTGGTGGCAGAGGGTCTCCACTTGAACCGCACACAGCCATGTCAGAGGAGCTCGTGTCATGAGTGTCGTCGGCCGCGCTCGTGTCATGAGTGTCGTCGGCCGCGCTCGTGTCATGAGTGCCGTCGGCCGCGCTCGTGTCATGAGGGCTGTCGGCGGCGCTAGCGTCATTAGGCGTCGCATCAAAGGGGCGGTACGTGGTGTCAGGGGACTGCTGATCATGATCAAGTGGCAGCGGCTGTGGTGTAGCCGTCATAAACACGTACTGCTCAAGAATTTCTGAGCGACCAGCGCGACCGGCGGCATACTTGAGGCGGCACGGATTGGCCGTCCCCTTGTGCTGTCCGAAGGCCCTGGCGTTCTTAAAGTGATTCCCACAGTAAATGCACGTGATCCATTCATTTTGAGACATACGGCAGTGCCGTGAACAAGTCCCTAACCGAGAGGCTGTCGATAATTGTCTTTATGGTCGATAACTAAGCTTGCTTTATGGTTTGACTCTCTCGCATACCCTCTCCCTCTCTCACTCCCGTCTCTCCCTCTCCCTCTCTCCCTCCTGTCTCTCCCTCTCCCCATGTCACTCCCGTGCCCACTCTGTTTTCACGCAAATAGCCGTACTCAACACGGGTATAGGTCCACCATGCTCGGTCGAGCATTTTCAACTGACCCCGGGGGGGAAGAAGGCGGTGCAGAACGGCAAACCTCTCCCTCTCTCACTCTCGTCCCTCCCTCTCCCGCTCTCACTCCTGTCTCTCTCCCTCTCTCACTCCATCTCTCCCTCTCCCTCTCTCACTCCCGTCCCTCCCTCTCCCTCTCTCACTCCCGTCTCTCCCTCTCCCTCTCTCCCTCCCGTCTCTCCCTCTCCCCATGTCACTCCCGTGCCCACTCTGTTTTCACGTGAATAGCCGTACTCAACATGGGTATAGGTCCACCATGCTCGGTCAAGCATTTTCAACTGACCTCGGGGGGGAAGAAGGCGGTGCAGAACGGCAAACCACGCCCTGATAATGGCGCACGCCAGCAAGTGTCGACGCCCCGCTCTAGAGGCGGTATGGTACCAACAAAGCTACACGGTGGGGAAGGGTCGCTCATGCCAAGTGAGGAGGCAGCGCGCGCAATGGTGGCAGTCCTGGCGGGAGCAAAGACAGCTGCTGCAAGAATCTCCGAGGCGGCAAGGGCGGCGGCCGGTCCTCAAAGGTCTGCATCAGGTGCGTTGATCTTGCCCTATCCAGAGAGATTTGCAGTGAGCTTGGTTTCCGTTTTGCCTCTCCTCGCGGTGCTTTGACATTTCCTCGTACCATCCTTAGCTCCTTCCTTGAATCCGCCCCCTCTCCCCCAGCCCCACCCCCCACTTCCCTTCCAGTTTGACCCACACGTACTGCCGCTCATTGTTTTAATGTTACATCTTGTGTTGTGGTGTTTTATTGTTAGTTTGTTTTGTTGTGGACCATTCTATCCTGCCTATCTCATTGTCGCCCCTCTTACTAAGCCCATTCCTCCGAATCTCTAAACTTTGACTCATTTCTCTTACTCCCTCTCCCTCTTCATCAGGTGCGTGGGGCCAGCCCAAAAACGCAGGAGCCGCGGGGGCAGCTCCAAGTGCGGTGGCAGGCGCGAAGGGGCAGGGAGCAAGCACAGAAAGGCGCGCGGGTGCAGCTCCAAGGTCACCGCCTTCTGCAGGTTCTAAGGGGCAGGGAGCAAGCGCGGGTGCAGCACCGAGGCTGGTATCAGGTGCGAGGGGGCAGGGAGAAGGCGCAGGATGGAGCACGGGTGCAGCTCCCGGGTCACCGCCTTCTGCAGGTTCTAAGGGGCAGGGAGCAAGCGCGGGTGCATCTCGCAGGGCGTTATCTGGTGCGAGGGGGCAGGGAGAAAGCGCGGGTGCAGCTCCAACGGCGATCCCTGGTGCAAGGGGGCAGGGAGCAGGCGCAGGATGGAGCACGGGTGCAGCTCCTGGGTCACCGCCTTCTGCAGGTTCTAAGGGGCAGGGAGCAAGCGCGGGTGCATCTCGCAGGGCGTTATCTGGTGCGAGGGGGCAGGGAGCAAGCGCTGGCACTGCGGTGGCGGGCGCAAGGGGACCAGGAACTACCGCAGCTGCAACTGCAAGGGCGCTGGTACCAGTCACTGCAAGGGCAAATCAGCAGGCGTTTGTCACACGTGCAGAGATTGAAGCAGTTAGGGCCGAAATCCTTCGTGCAATCGCACATGCTCCACTGGTTCCAGGCACCGCACCGGATGTGCCACCCAACGCCACTACGGGCGTGCAACGTGTGGAAAACCGCGGTCCAGAGCAAATCGCTTTGGATACGATTTTTTGTGATGCCGGCGACTGGAAGGTGTGTTTCTCAATCCACGCCAAATAAAACACATTCTCCCGTCCACCAATCTCACCCCCCCGTCCAGCCAACCACCATTCGCCCAGCCCACCCCCTACCCCCCGCTCCCATGTCTCCCCATCCCTCTCTGGCCTGCCAACTTTCAGACCATTTATCTTTGTTGTGGAAACTCTGATAATTTGCCACCCTCTTCCCTCTTCTCGTGTCAACAGGCAAAGTGTCGCACGCTGGTCACTGAATTCTACTGGTCACGGGATGCGGATATGATTGAAATGTACCCCTCAGAGAAAGAGGTCATGGAGGGTTTCAGAGGATATTTGTCCCCAGACACAATGCCTCATCTGATTATGCTATGGAAGCACCAGTGCCCCACCACCAAGGGTTCCTTCCTCAAAGCGTGTAGCAACACGCGTTGTTCTGTAGGCATGATTTTTAGGCGTATCGTATTCGCAGCATTGGGCAGTGACAAGTACACGACCAAGGTGAAGTTCCTGCCAAAAGGGCTGCTGCGCCCTACTGAGGTGGTGAAGCATGAAGACTTGCTTCAAGCCAGCATCAGTGGTGAGTTAACAAGGGGTTTTGTCAGCACAAAGCATGTACAGTGTTAACAAGGGTTTTTTTTTTTTTTTTTTTTTTTTTTTTTCCAGCGTGCGCCTCTTAAGCAGCCCGCGCGGCCCGTTTAGGCCCCGCCCGCGCAGCCCGTTTAGGCCCCGCCCGCGCGCCACTTACGCCGCCCGCGCGCAACCTGCTTAGGCCACGCACGCGCAGCCCGCCGCCGCACGCAGCCCGCAGCCGCGCGCAGCCCGTCGCCACGCGCAGCCAGGAGCCGCACGCAGCCAGGAGCCGCACGCAGCCCGTTGCCACGCGCAGCCAGCAGCCACGCACAGCCCTCAGCCGCACGCAGCCAGCAGCCGTGCGTGCCCTGCTCGTCTGCCTGCCTGCGCGGCCCGCTGCTGCCTAGCCTGCTGCCTTAGAAAGCGCGTGGCCTGCTGCTGTCTAGCACGCTGCCTTAGGAGCTTGAATGCGGCAAGCTACTGCCCTGCAAGTTGCCTGCTGCCTGCTGCTTGCTGCCTGCTGCCTGTTGCCTGCTGCCTTTGCCTGCTGCCTGGTGCCTATTGCCTGCGTTGCCTGCTGCCTGCTGCCTACTGCCTCTGTCTTAGCCTGCGGTCTATTGCCTGCGGCCTGCTGCCTACTGCCTACTGTCTGCTACCTGCTGCCTACTGCCTTTGCCTGCTGCCGTTATGACGACGCCTAACGTTCTCGCGTTCGAGCCTAACGGTCGCCCCATAGAGTTCGCTGTGTGGTTAGACGACCTCCAACTGTTCCTTCTGACCGATTCCAAAGAGGGCATTTCACTGTTCGATTACGTGTCAGGTACTGCCGTTGCTCCTGCTGCCGATGCTCCTGCTCTTGAACGCTCGCAGTGGCAGACTCGCGATGCTGCTGCACGCCTAACTATTAGGAACCATCTGCCGATTCCTGAGCGTGCTCACTTCAGCCAGCACAAAACTGCTAAGACACTGTACGACGTTGTAGTTGCGCGCTACTCCTCCCCGGCCACTGCAGCCATAGGTCGGCTCATGCTACCCTACCTGTTCCCCGACCTTTCCTCGTTCACCACTGCTGAGGACCTCATTTCCCACCTGCGCACTACTGACACTCGCTTTCGTGCCACCCTTTCAGCCGAGTTCTGCGCAGCAACCCCCCCCCCCCCCCCCCCCGATGTACTTCACTCTCTATTTCCTCGTCACCCGCCTCCCTGACACTCTTAGCTCTGTCAGGGACCACTTCCTAGCACTAGACCCCACCACTCTCACTGTTGACGACTTCAAGAAGCACCTCCTCGCAGCAGAGAAGAACATCCTCGCTGTAGGTGCTCCTCGTGGCACTCCTCGCTCTCCCCTCTTTGAGGGGTGCTCCCCCTCCCCTCTCACCCCCTCCTACGCCTCCGCAGCTGCTGCTCACGACTACCTTGGTGCTGAGGAGGTCGGAGCTGCTTCCGCTCCTAGTGGGAAGCGTCGCAGCGGCAGGGGCGGCAGGGGTAGCAGGGGCGGTGGGGGTGGCGGTGGAGGTGGCGGTGGTGCAGGCGGCGGGGGAGGTGGAGGTGGTGGGGGTGGTCGTGGGGGTGGAGGCGGTGGAGGTGGTGGTGGGGGCGGCGGAGGCACTGGGAGCGGTGGAGGGGGCAGCAGTGGCGGTGGGGGAGGAGGGAGCGGTGGTGGCAGTGGTGGTCAGGGCCAGCAGCAGCCGCAGCAGCAGCAGCAGCAGCGTCAGCGCCAGACCCCCACTTCCCAGCAACTTCTTGACTAGTATGCCGGGCGTGGGGCTTCTGGGGGTCCTGGTCGCTGCCCCTATATCATCCGCACAAGTCCCCGCGCTGGTCGCCAGTGCACAGGTTTTCACACTGAGCAGCGCTGCTTCGCTCGGCTTATCGACGCCTGGCGCGCCAAGTTTCCTGATGCTCCTGAGTTCCCCAACTGGACAGACTTGCTTAGGCGTGATGTACCTATCTTTGATCTTGACTATGAGGCAATTCTTGCTGCTATGTATGTCTTGTCTGTTAGTGCTGAAGGTGACTGCTACTTGTGTGTGCCGCCGGATCCTGGTATAGCCCCTGGTATAGCCCCTGCAGCACTAGGTGTTTGTGAGTCTACTCCCCTTGGTACTGCGCCTGCACAGGCTTTGCACACCTTTACACTTGACTCTGGTGCTTCCCGCTGTTTCTTTCGCGACAGTACCAGAGTCACTCCCCTCCCTGCACCTGTTCCTGTCTCACTGGCTGACCCCTCTGGGGGGCCAGTGCTTGCACGGTCTTCCACTGTGCTTCCGTGTCCGGCGGTCCCGTCTGGTGAGCTGTCTGGTCTCCACCTCCCCTCATTCTCTACGAACTTGGTGAGTAACGCTGTCCTCCAGGATGCGGGGGTTGACACCTTCACCCCTGGCCGGCAGCGTGTGGCGATTTGTACGTGCTCCCAGACTGGCCGCCACCTGGCCACGTTCACTCGTGCGCCAGGGTCCAGTCTGTACACCCTCACCACTGCGTCGCGCTCCGCCCCTTTGTCTCCCCAGTTACATGCGTCTGCTCAGGTAGCTACACAGTGTGAGTGTCGCCGGCTGTCGCACGAAACTCTCCTATGGCACCACCACCTTGGTCACCCCTCCCTGCCTCGCCTTCGTAGCATGCAGTCTCGCTTCCTGGTCTCTGGTCTTCCCAGGTCTCTGCCTGCCCTCCCTCCCTCACCTGCGCCGCCCTTCATTCCTTGCGTCGAGGGGTGGCAGCGCGCCGCTCCTCACTCCTCCTCGTTCCCTCCCACAGAGGCTCCACTGTAGACTCTCCACCTGGACATGTGGGGCCCAGCCCGCGTCAGTGGACAGGGCCACGAGCGGTACTTCCTGCTGGTTGTCGACGACTACACGCGTTACACCACGGTCTTCCCCTTGCAGCGCAAGGGGGAGGTCCCTGCTGTTCTGATCCCCTGGATCCGCGCTGCTCGTCTCCAGCTCCGCGAGCGGTTCCAGTCGGACTTTCCTGTCCTACGTCTGCACTCTGACCGAGGTGGTGAGTTCTCCTCAGACCTCTTGGCAGCCTTCTGTGCGGAGCACGGCATCCGCCAGACATTCACGCTTCTGGCCTCTCTGCAGAAGAATGGGGTTGCTGAGCGCCGCATTGGCTTAGTCATGGAGGTCGCTCGTACCTCCATGATCCATGTGGCTGCCCCCCATTTTCTGTAATCGTTTGCGGTCCGGTACGCCGCGTATCAGCTCAACCTTTGGCCCCGTGTCTCCTTGCCGGAGACCTCGCCCACACTGCTGTGGACGGGGAAGGTTGGCGACGCGTCGCGTTTCCGGGTCTGGGGTGCTCGTGCCTTTGTCCGCGATACCACCGCGGACAAGCTCTCCCCTCGCGCCATTCCTTGCGTCTTCCTTGGCTTTGTCCCTGACGCCCCTGGCTGGCAGTTTTACGACCCCGCCTCGCGCCGTGTCTTTGCGTCTCAGGACGTCACCTTTGACGAGTCGGTCCCCTTTTACCGCCTCTTCCCCTACCGCACTGCTCCTCGCCCCCCCCCCCGCCGCTCTTTCTCGCCCCAGGTCCTCCCCAGGTAGACCCCCTCCCCGCGCCAGGTCCTGCTCCTTCAGTTGTCTCTCAGGTAGACCCCCCCGCGCCTGCGCCTGTTGAGGTCACTGGTGACTCCGGTCCTGCTGGGAGTGGTGCTGTCCCTGGGGGTGCGGAGCTTGGGGGTGCTGAGTCTGGGGGCGCTGGGCGTGTGGAGCCTGGAGGTGCTGAGCCTGCGCGTGAGGAGCCTGGAGGTGCTGCATCTGGGGGTGCTGCGTCTGGAGGTGCTGCGTCTGGGGGTGCTGAGCCTGCGTATGCGGAGCCTGGGGGTGCTGAGTTTGGGGGTGAGTCGCCTGAGGGTTCTGAGACTGCTTTTATGCGGTCTCCTTGGAGTAGGCGTCTTCGTCCGCGTGTGCCCCTCACCTCCCAGCAGCTGCACGACTGGTACGGTCGCCGTCAGCGTCGCGCTTCTGCACCTCAGGGCTCTATTGCTGGGGGTTCTTCTGCTGGTGTCGCTGGTCCTGGAGGTGCTTGTACTGAGGGTACTGGAGCTGCTGGGGCTGGCGGTGTTCTGACTGAGGGTACTGGAGCTGCAGAGGGTGTTGGAGCTGCTGGAGGTACTGGAGCTGCTGGAGGTGCTGGCGGTGCTGGAGCTGCTGAGGGTACCGGGGCTGCTGGAGGTACTGGACCTGCTGAGGGTCCTGGAGCTACTAGCGGTGCTGGAGCTGCTGAGGGTACTGGAGCTGCAGGAGGTGCTGGAGCTGCTGGAGGTGCTGGAGCTGCTGGAGGTGCTGGAGCTGCTGGTGCTGGTGGCACTGCTCAGCCGCGCCTGTTCTTCGCTCTGCCGTCTCCGACGTCTCAGCCACCACCTGACTCTGCACTTCGCCAGGTTCTCAGTCTTCCCTCGTCTACTGGTCTTCCATTACAGCCTGGCTCACCGCTGCCTGCTCCTTCTCCGTACACAGATCAGACTGGCGGCCTTGCTGAGCGTCGTGAGCCTGCGTCGCGTCCTGTCTCACCTGTCCGTTCTGGTCATTCCGGTCGTCGTGTTCCTCGTCAG